CCAAAACCCACTTATTTATCACAAAGTGCCAACACTGCAATTAAACCTGAATACAGGAGGTTTTAGTTTAGAAAAAAAACAACTTGTACATTAACAATCTTTTATCTTAAAAAGAAAAACACAACAGAGATTCCATTGACCACCAGCACAAGTTGGCAAGGTTCCACTGGCCACCAGCACAAGGGGGCAAAGTTCCAAAAACCAACAGCACAAGGGGGCAAAGTTCCAATGACCACCAGCTAAAATCTTGTGTTAATAAAAACAAACGTTATAAAACTCACAGCCAGTCCAATATATATAACCTTGGCAGCGCACTGACGGGCCATGCGAAAGCTGGGACGAGTTGCGTCTAATGAGTTGTGGCTCACTATGTAATTGTCTGGCACTGCTACTCCTTTCCGAGCATGTGCATGAACCCCTACGTGCGCTGTTATCTGATGCTCAGCTGCTGGGGCAATGATGGGGTGACGTGGCTCGCATTCCGACAGAGAGGGCTCTGCGTGCCCACTGCGGCATGCATGCCATAGGTTCGCCACCACTACTCTATACTGTGTACTTGTCTCAATCCAAATTACTAAGTATCATTTCTGTCTGCTGCCTCATTCCTCTGCTATAAGCATGGGTCACGTCTGATGAGTTTTCCTGACACCAAGAGAAAAATGGTGACGGGAGGGACCTTCAGCAGATTGAGAGCCTCAGCTCTGTTCCTGTGAGCAGAGTGGAGGGGGGCGTCCCTTCCCTCCAATCAGCTCTGAGATCTCCTCCCTGATGTAACTTCAGCTCTCTGCCCACTGCTTTTCAGAGCCGAGAGATCCTGTGTAAATTGTGCACTTTGAATAGATGTAAAGGAAAGACAACTGTGGATAAACAGGTACAATTCATGTAGGAAGATTTGTTTCTTAGCTGTATATCACCTGAAGCCAGTCACTTCACTGGGTATATATAAGGCTTTACAACTACTTAAAAGTGCAAGACTTGGTCCTACCAGCTGAATGCTATTATTTGCACCTGGAAAAGCTTTGTGTCAATTGCCAGAGTTTCTGGTGTGTTGGTTGTTTGACATATATTGGGGAATTCAATAAAGCAATAACAACACTTTTCTGGTAGTATGGCTACTGCACCTAAATAATAAAAGCTTTGCACCAGTTTCAGTACCAACACTAACGTGTGCCGAATTCTGGCAGTTCTTACTACCACCACTTTCTCTCCACCACTGACTGCGTTGATAGGAGAATCAAGCAATTATCAATCAATTAATCTATGGCTTGCCTTACATAGACATGCTAAAATGCACATTTAACCTGAAAATGTATTGAAAACCCCCCAAAAATATACATTTTCTGAAAGCAAAGGACCCATCGAATAAGACAATAGCTGCATTTGTTATGCCACACAATATTTGCACAAATGTTTATGAAATCTATATCTTCAGGTAAAAAAAACACACACATTGTGATCTGCATTTTTTGGTAAAATATAAAACGTATAAAAAAAAAAAAAATCAAAACACCAAAATGTCAATTCTCAAAATTGCTAGAAACCATGATAAACAAAGTTGCACATGAAACATTAAAAATCTTTATAACTCTGAAATTTAGAGAGTTAATCATAGATTATGACCCTAGAATTATTCTTCTAACTCTGGCATGTGTGGAAATACCAAAATTAGTGTTTTGCAATTGGCATTTCCAAACACACAAGTATCTTCGGTGTGCTGATATGCACTAAGGCAGGGATCTCTTAGATTTTTTTTTAAACTTTTTTTTTCACCTAACTATAATAAGCATATTATCATTTTATGTTGTTGTCTATGCTACAAGAAGCAGCTTCCTCTTCTGGTAGGTGTTCCCATGACCTCCCCTCTAACTTAAAAGCACCTCTGCCATGCAACAGAAGGCTCGTATTTTTTTTTCTACAGAGTACAAGGCTTCATCTGAATGGCCAAGGTGGAGATTGTGATGTTATCTGCTTGCCTTTCCCCTTTGGCCAATCAGAGGAAGCTTTGTATGGATTGAAAAAAAATCCAAGCGTCTCCTGAGTGGTGGAAGTGTGGGAGCAAGAAACAGAAGTTGCAGGAGCGACCACCTGAGGAAGACCTCACTTCGTATATGTAGCATAGACTACAAGAGTAAATTATAGCTTCACTACTGGGAAACAGGCCCAAAGTAATCCTATTCCTGGAAGTCTTCCTTAAATGTATTTGTAAAACACAAACAAGGCTCATTATACACGGATTGTTTAGAAGGCCTTACAAAGTGCAACAAATACCACATTCATATACATGGGCTTTTACCTAAATTAAGATATAACATGTGCGTTGTACATATGTAACCAATGGCCAGCTTAAAAATGGCGCTGCGCAGCTGACAATTTTATAGCATGACTGTAAAGCTTCCCATAGACTTCAGCCAGCACGCTAAACAAAAAGAAAACTAATACATTCCACCATCCACTCAACTGAGGTGTACAGAAGAACCCTTCTTCGCCCCCCCCCACCAAACCACCGGGACATTAAATTCTGACAGCGTGGCTGCACCCATTTATAAAGAAAAATTGTAAGCAACTAGTATTCATAGAAATAAGATTTCTAGATCTACGAAACTGCTGGTTAGCTATGGCCCACTAGGGTAAGAATCATGTGGAAGTTGCAGTAATCAGGGCTCCATTGCATTGCAAAGTGTTTTGACGTTATCAAGATTGATTATTGTAGTAGAGAGCATAGTGATGACCTCATCTTTAACATGCTGTTCCTTCGATATCCAATCCGTTTTCACCAAGCTCGATTGCTTTAACTCTAGTTAAAGTCAATGGTCAGGGCCTGCTATAATTCTTGAACTACAAAAAAAATGACTGAACAGAAATACTCAGATTTTTTCAGATATGACAGTTTGTATGTGGGTGTGTGTACCTGTGCATTTAGCAGTTTGTCAACACTAAGGCCCCTTTCACACGAATGTTCCAATCAGGTCCACCTGTCTTTATCCAGGCAGACCTGATTGGAACCTCCATTCTCCTCTATGGAGTGGTGTGACATTGTGTTCATTTATACCCACCTACATCCAATCCAGTTTGTTCCCCTTCCATCCAGCGGATCAGATGGCAGTCAGGTGCAAATGGACAGGTGGTCTGTTTACATCCACCCAGTATGTGTCCATGTCCACTCTGCGGACACAGACCTGAGCAAGCGGATCACAAGCAAAGTCAGCCCCATGTGAAATAACTGGCTGACGTCTATGGGAAACTTCAGAGCTGTACTCCAGGTCTATGGGAAGCTTCAGAGCTGTACTCCAGCAAAGCAAAAGTTTAAAGTCCTCCCTTACAGTAGGGCTTGTGCCCTTATTGCAAGGGTCCACTGCTCATTTATGTCTGGGGGGGGGGGGGGGGCAGGAAAAAAACAACTCGCTTCTCCCACAGGCTCTTCTGCAAAGCTAGACTGGACCCCGCAGACTCTTCTCCACTGCACTCCAGAAGTCGGATGTCTCTGATGGCATCGAGGACAATGTAGGGCCCATAGCCCTACACGGAACACAAGGACATTAAGGGACAGTCCAACGCCAAAGCATCAGCAGAGGATTGGGTAAGTAAAAGTGCTTTTACCTTCCCCTAGACTAAATGTTCACTTAGTCCCCTAACCCTTTTACTGAGTTGGGCTAATGACAGATGTTATGGAGATGTTATGTTCTACTCTTGCCATATGTATTCACAAGGGGTGTGTCTGAGATCTGGCCAAGGTCCGACACAATGACATGATCTATGTAGACTTCCCACTATATGCAGCCCTCACTTTACATACACCCCTAGCAACTCCTCCCCTTGGTATATTAATGCTAATAAATCCTAGCACCATTTTTTCCCCGTATAACTATTTAGTATTCATATCACTAAGTTAGGAAACAAGGCATCAACACATTTATACTTACTCTCCCATTGCAGAAAAAGAACATGCAATGAAGAATCCAAGGGAATAACAGAAGGGTACAGATCACAAGGAAGTAGGGGACTATTAAAACCAGGGATTTACAGGCAGACAACAGCTTTCTGTATGCTTTCTGCCTCTTTTGTCTCCAAACTATTTGGGCAGAATGATATGAGCTCTACAACCAGGGAGGAGGCATTACCATTTAACCAGTCCACTGCTGCCTCCAGATAGAGCAGCAAAGCCATTCAGCTCCATCCTGCAGGCCTAGCAGGTTGCTAAGAGAAGCTCACTTGATGGTATGGCGTATTTCACTGCAACAACCATGACAAAGGTAATATGAAGGTTAATGCTTATGAGCTGACGACAAAGTAGAAACATCTGCATTTCAGCATCTCTAAGGCTGGCCATACACTATACAATTTTCTGTCCAATTTCTTACCAATTTCCATTAGATTTAACTTCAATTATGTAGTGCAAGGGCCTGCCGAATTGGATACAATTGAAAGCGTTGTTTAGGTTTGACCTCATATTATATGGTTTTTGGTAAATCTAAGGCAAAATTCTCAAGAAAATTGTATAATGTATAGCCCGCCTAAAGGATCAGTGTTTCAATGTTAATGAGTCAGAATTACAGTTCCAGAAACAAGGATCTTCTGAAATACAAGCGATATTCTCACGTATAAAACAGAACTGATGCCTATTGTATTACACGCCTATACACAACAATAATAACTGTTTAAACAATGGCGCAGGCCATCACACAAATGACCTTCACTAATCTAGGAAGAGCTGACTGATGTCATAAAATAACCTAAAAGTAGTCAAGAATAATTGTAATTGGATTTTGTATTTTTAAGTAATTGCAAATATGTAAATATAAAGAAACGATTACATTGCACAACATACAAAAATTGCAATTACCAAAATTTTAGGCTGATTTTAAGAACGCTGAAGCGTTAGCACAAAACAACTCATTTGCAACTAAATGTGTTCTGCCCAAAGCCCAGGTTTGTTTTTGATCATAAAGAATGATACAGCAAAGGATTGTGGGATGTTGTCATGGTATCGATTTGGCCCATACCTTCAGGATTAGGTTCAGGGTCTGGCGTAAGCGAAATGTCGTCAAGTTCACGCAAGCAGAGCCATTCGCCATCCATAGAGACGCGGAATTTGCAAAGGTATATGGTTTCCATTGCAGCTTGGGTTATCTTGTCCGTGGTAGGGGTCGGCATGTCGCTCTGAGGGGTAAGAGCCGTCATGATGGCTCAGGTGGTATAACAACCACTCAAAAATATCAGAAATGAGAAGAAAATCAAAAAGGTGTCTTGAAGAGTCCAGAGATCCTTCTGGTGACTTACAGAGAAAGCTGCACAGTTAGCATGCAAGAGATAAAAAGGAATATCTCAAATGTTCTCTAGGACTGTTTTCAGTTCTGCAATACAGGAAAGATGCTCTTCCTCCCTGGCTTGCTTTGGATTCCTGTGTCTGCCTCTTCCGCCCCCCTGCTGCTCTGCTGCCAATCGTCATGCGTCAAAGCTGCTCGCTAAAGCACAAAACTCCAGAAAAGAAGGCTCTCCTTTGTTCTAGTCAGACAGGCAATCAGTGACAAATGTAAAGCAATCATCCACTAGGATCTGAATGGCCGCTATATAGAGGCAGTTATGGGAATCCAAGTGTTCCAAAGAGGGCAGCAGGTCTGCACAGCCCAGGCACTTGTGATCTTGTAGGATTGGTTGTGCGCAGTAAGCAGGGTGTTGACCAAAATGGCTGACTAATGAAGAGAAGAGAAAATTCACACTCATGTGACCAGGGATGCTCAGAACGTAAGCAAGTCCCAGAATGCTGTCTGGATGCTGCTGATACAGGGAGAGCAATTAAAATGATCTCTCCTTCGGTACCCAACCCTACTGCCTGCTCCTGTGACAACCATCCCCTCCCCGATCAGACTCCACCTTGCTTCAGACTCGACTAGCAAACTGAGAATCCGATCAAACACAATAAAAGGCTATTGTCATTAATCCTGTCACCCAGAAGACTAGGGAAACCCGTGTGACACAGCTAAAGTAATTATTTACACAGAGAAGATAGAAAGAAAAACAAATTATAGACATCTTCCTACTCTTAGAATAATCTCCAAGCCATCTGTTTTTCTCTCTCTTTTTTCGTGGCTGAAGTCCCAAAATATGTTTTTTTTTCTTCTACTTTTATTACTATGAATTGGCGGAAATACAACAAAAAAAAAATACAATTTTTGCATTATGATTTGTACAAAGTCCTAATGTAGAAAAAGTATTATAGAAATCATAAATCTTGCAATAAAATCGATGCTATGGGCCAATTTCTCTAAATAATTCTTGTGTGGCTGTTCAGATTCACAATAATTCTTTTAAAATGAAAGTGAACCTTTAAGGCTCATTCACACCATGGTACAGAGATGTCAGTTTTTCTGCACACGTTCTGCAAAGGAACAACAAAATCAATTGTTCTCCCCCACAGTTACTACCTTTTGTACCACTAGCCCCTCCCTCTTAGATTGTAAGCTCCAAGGAGCAGGGCCGTCCTAACCTTCTTGTATTGAACTGTATTTTCTCTCGTTATATTGTAAAGCGCTGAGCAAACTGTTGGCGCTATATAAATCCTGTATAATAATAATGTGTTCTGTTCACACCACAACACTGGCATCATGTGCATATTCTTTTTGCACAGGAATCTACAACATGCATAAAATCATTGGCGCACGCATGAAAACTGATGTCTCTGCAAGGGAAATCTGTGCATCAGTTTTTCTGTACATTTGGTGTGAACGAGGCCTTAATGTCTGCATATTAGGAAAAGTAACATTAACCACTTACCATCCCTCCCTATAGCAGATTTACTGCTGTGCAAAATCATGTATATAATTGTGAATTTGGCACTTCCACCATAAGGGGCGCACAAGCTGCCAAAGAGACACTTCTGCTATGATTGGACACAGCAGAAGCCGATCAACAGGTGCCGGCCAATGGATGAGTGCCAGCACCCGTTGATCATCGAGGAGAGTGACAGGACACAGCTCTGCCTATGTAAACAAGGCAGCATTGTGCTCTATCAGCAGCAAATTGACAGATTTGCTTTCCCTGCAAAGCAGGGAAGAAAATCTAGCAGACAGACGGCTACACACTTACCGTGTACACAAAACACTTAGCTAGGCACACAGTTAACCCTTTGATTGCCCTAGATGTTTAACAAAACCCCTTCCCTTTGATTGCCCTAGCGAGAAGGGGTCCTGTACACTTGCATTACCGTGTACACAAAACACATAGCTAGGCAAACAGTTAACCCTTTAATTGCCCTAGATGTTTAACGCCTTCCCAGCTAGCTAATACTGATCAAAAAAATTCCAGTATATATACACAATAGTTTGTAAACGCCATTCCTTTTGCGCAAACCAATCAATACATGCTTACTGAGATTTTTTTTTTACCAAACATATGTAGCAGAATAGATTTTGGCCTAAATTTAAGAAGAAATTTGATTTTTGACTGTGTACATTCAGCCGCTACATCAGCCCCCACTTCTATAGGCTGCCTACGTGCAGCTCCGAGGTGGATGTAGACAGCTGCTCAGCACAGAGGATGGGTCTTAGCGTCCATCTAAAGAGCCCAAAGGCATCATTCACACAGGCATATGTGTATTTTCTGCATGGAATGCAGGTTCTTAAAGGTGGAGTTAGCAGAAAATCATTCAAAACATACATGCCTAAGGTACTTGAGTTTAGATGCGTACAGTGTTAAGACACTTACAATATTTCTAATGGCTTATGCGTGCATATGTTTACGTGCGTTTATGTGCATACACATGTCAAATCTGCAGATATTTGTGGCCATGGAGGCCGATGTATCCTACATTTTTTTGTACTTAGCTAAACACAGTGCAAAGTTTTGCTTGTAGATGTAGGTATGTGTGTGCGCGCGTGTATGGTTACAGTAATTACTAGATGCGTCCAATTCTGTATATAGCCTGTATATGATGTGTTATTGGCCTCTATATGACGTACTTTTTCATGAAAGTGCATAAAAGATTTATTTTTAATGCACTGCACCTAAAATACACAGGTGTGAATGGGGCCTTAAACAAAAAGGGCTTTCACCTAAGTGATATTCTTATTTTAAAACACAGTGTTAGGTCCTATTATAATAATAGTGAATATTTTGACAAATTGATAAATTATTTTAAATTATTCTGAATAAATAAATGTTATGTATTTCCAAATTGATGAATTATTTTAAATTATTGTGAATAAATAAACCGTATATATTTACGAATTGATAAATTATTTCAAATTATTCTGAATAAATAAATGTTTTATATTTACGAATTGATAAATTATTTCAAATTATGAATAAATAAATGTTTTATATTTACGATCTGATAAATTATTCTGAATAAATAAATGTCATAAGTCTAAACATTTAAAAAAAAAAAAAGACACACTATAAAAACAAAATCCCCTCAGCTAAACCCCCTCATTAGACGTGTACTGATTTTTAAAACTTGAATCACTATTTTCAATAACATCGTAGGAGCACCTTCTTTATTATATAGTAAAATAATGTGGAGCCGCCAGATGTTCACTCATTACGTGATGAATTCCTAATGGGAAGTATTGTTGTATTCATTGATTGGTCACGTAACGAGTGACAGGTAGGAGGAGCATCTTTGACAGTTTCATTTCCAATATATGTACATCTTTGCTTTTAGCTAATCCTTGGGGACTGTGCTGTAAATGTTTGTAAAAGACACACTTTTCCTGCCCAAGGGGCTAGAGTGAACGGATGGTAACTAGTAGGGAGTTCAAAGGTGCCCTCTCATAGTTAACACTTTAATGGAAACCCTGTTAATATTTTTTTACAAAATTAGAAGAGTGGTGTTCAGGTTTAAAGTGGTTTTAAACCCTTACATATACCCAGTGAAGTGTCTAACCTCAGGTGATATACAGAGATTATACAAATCCTCCTACATAAATTGAACCTGTTTATCTACAGCTGTCTGTCCCCTACATCCATAAAGTGCAGAATTTAAACATGATCTCTTAGCTCTGAAAAGCAGGGGATGGGTAGCTGATGTTACAGTCAGCGAGGACAGCTCTGAGAGCGGATTGGAGGGAAGGGGCACACCCCCCTTCACACAGCGCACCACAACAAAGCTGAGGCTGTCAGTCACAGGCTGTGCCCTTTCCAGTCACCTTTTTTCTCTTGCTGTCAAGAAAACCAGTCAGAAGTGACTCATGCTGATAGCAAAGGAATGAAGCAGCAGACAGAAATGACACTTAGTGCTAACCATACAGTATGTAGGAACAGGAAAAGTCTCTGTACTAAGAGAAGTACACACCATAGAGGGATGTGCTTTGCTCATATTTCATGTCTTAGGTTTACAACCACTTTAAGGGCTAATTCCCACCAGTGGGTACATGTTAAGGTGAGCAGCCCCATTGGCGAGAACCGAAGCAACAGGAAAAAAGCAAACTGCCCAGTCTTTGTGTTGGGACTGCCCAATGGGGCTAGAGTGAACGAACCCTAAATATGAGTTAACATCACCAATAAGCTCCTTGTACTCCTTTGAATATCAGCAATACCAATATTAGAGGAAGTTTCAGCACTCTTAGCCGGTGGAGGACCTATTGCTTTGGATAGTGCCATTTGTTTAAAAACTATGAGCATGCTAACAGGAGTGGAAAACACAGAGATGACTCATTAGTGAACTGCTACTCCTCTGTCGTCCAGTCAGTAGGCTAGGAGTAGGTTCTTGACCACACAATACTACCCAAAAGGGATTACAAATCCTTGCACCATAGAGCCTGTAGTTCATCAACTCTTTTAGCTGGTGTGATAACAGAAAAGTAATTTTAAGCATCAAAGCCTTGGTAAACAGTCCAAAATCATATCAAAAAGGAGTGCTTAAAAAGTAACTCCACTTTGATGAAAAAAAAAAAATTAGCAAATAAAATAAATAATAATTTAGCATATACAGTTGCAACACAGGTCATATTGTAATTGAAAAGGAAAGGTAATTTTAAATATTCAATTTACAGCGCTGTAGTTTTCTGTAAAATGCAACGCAATATGGCTACATGGAGGTGTTCTGTACACAGACGGTGTACAGAACACCTCCCAGATATGTCATTTCCTGCTTGTGTGATTGGCTTACTGAATTTTCCAGAAGTCCGCACTAAGATACAAATCAGATGTTTGATATTCCCTGCAACAAACATTTAATTTTT